TCCAAACAATAACCCTCCCATCTGTCTGATCCTCTTACCAGACTACTCTCATTTCATTAGTTTCACTTTCAAGGCTGAAATATCGCCATGCCCCAGGATTGATGCATTTTGGAGACACTATGTCAGGGATGAAGCGCGGGGTTGGGAGGATTATATTCAAGCCCACACTGAGCTGGGTAAAGAAGTCTTGTACCCCCCTGTCAGAAGATCTACACGCTTCAAAAAGGCTCCTCTTGATGTTGATTAATTTTTGAATTATTGTCCTCCGTACCTTCCTCTGATTTCCTGCTTGTGTCCCTTTTAAAATCCATACTACGCTTGTTTATTCCCACACTCTTTTGCAAATTTAAATTTGGCCTCATTAGAATATTATAGAATTTTGTGTCTTTTTTCCATTGAGAAATTCAAGTTCGGAAGGTTGAATAACCACTGGGAACTTTCCACTGTGCTTGCATCAATAAAATGAGTGGGAGCCAAACTTAAAAGGCAAAGAACTCCCTTTTAAGAAAAATAAATGTTACCATTCAATTCTATACCTTTCAAAGTGTAGGAAACAACTTTACAATGTCAAAAAATAATGAAAAACAAGCCGCTAACAATTAATTGAAAAAATGAGTAAGCAGAAAAAAAAATCAAAGTCATTTTTATGGTAAACGGACTTTACCATTAAATTCTACACCCTTCAAAGTGTAGGAAAAAATTTTAAAAAATCAAAAAAACTCGAAATTAATGGCAAAAAAAAATTAATTAAAAAAGCGCGTTTAAACACGGATTGAGCGTGTGCTGTGCCGCAGCAAAAGCACGTCAAAACGCGGACAATGCGGGTTTTTTTATGAAGGCCCTTATCAAATATAAATTATGAATTAAGATTAAATGTAAATACACAGTTATTTATTTATTATTTTAACAACAATATATAATATTTTCTTGCATTCAATTAATTATTATTATTTGCAGTTACTAGGTACATTTCACGTAAACAAGGTGGACGCAAGATTGAGTCGGTTAGAGATCAACAGTGTTGGGCCGGGTAGCAGGGCCAATTGTCCAACAATCAGGGAGTCGGACAAACGGTCCGGTTGGCTAGCGGCTCGAGGTGGTGATGGTCGAGGTGAATGGGGTCGCGAGGTAGGCTTAAAACAATGGTTCTGAGATGCAGCAACTGTCAATGGCTCTGCTGTTCCTTGTGATAACAGTGGTATGAGACCTTGCTTTTTTGAGTATCGGAATGAGCCGACTAGGGGAGTCAAGGAGATAATGGTTGGCGGAGCCTAGATGTTTCTAGAAATGAGGAGATGAACAACCTCCTCCAGGTAACAGATTCAAGCCTCATAGCCGTTCTTTGTCTGGTAAAAAGGTCGTCACAACCCTTGTTGGTTCATCTTGCCTGGTTTTGGGAGAGGGGTTTGATATAGGTTGGAGGGAACCGAGTTTGTGAGGCAACAAAGAAGATGGGCCCAGAAAAAAATCAATGTCAAGATTGATTCTTAGAAAGGTCTGTTCGGTGAAGCAGTTGAGGAGCTTGGTAATTGATTGAGAGTCGATGTCAGGAGAGCAGTTGGAAAAGAGATGTCAAAAAGTTGGAAGTTGTATAAGGCACGTTAATGAATTTTCAAAATAAATCTGCCTGTATTGTTTATGGAACTAGAAAAAAAAAGTGTAAGAGCTGAGAATGCTCTTCACTGATACTCTTAGTGGAACAGTCGGAACAAGGCCTTTTTGCCTTGGAGAGAAATTCTAGTACCACAGTCGGATGAATTGCTAGAATTGGTAGGAGAAGAACTCTTGTAAGTACAACTAGAATCATCAGAAAGAGGAAGAGGAGAAGTGAGAAAGCAGAGAAGGGAATGACATACCTAGCATTGGTAGGAGAAGAACTCTACCAAGATAGGAAGGGAAGGAGATGTAGAGACTAAATACAAAGCAGGAGAGGCTTATGTAATCTTTTGACAGGTTTGTGTAAGCCTGTGAGGAGCAGGGCTTACAGGTTGTCAATCAGTAGGGAAGAGTTGTAGATGATATAAAGGATTGGGAAAAGGGGATATCCTTGTGGTAAACCGCATTTCAATTCAAATGGAGTCAATGTGAAGTTGTCCATCTTTATTGAGGTGGAGCAATCAGAAAGTAGGCTGTTGATGATGGCTGATACTGATAGATAAGAAGGGGTGTTCTTTTTTGTCAGAGTATTGATCATTCTCTCTTTAACAACTGTTTGGAATGCTGATTTGAAGTCAAGGAAGAGGTCCGTAACTATTTTCTTTTCCCTCCACTTGTGTTTGATCCACAAAGTTAAGAACAATTTAGCATCATCTGTACTTTTGTTAGCTCTTCCTCCCAAATGGCCTTCTGCTATAACATTGTTATTCTCTGCCCAAAAAGCAATTCTGTTAGTTATTTTTTTTTGAAGATTTTACCGAGACAGAATAATAAAGCAGTTGGTCTGTATGATCCAGGAGCGGAATACAATTCCTTTTCCGCTTTGCAGATGATTTCTGTTGTTGTGTGCCTTCAAAATTTTGGAAAGTAACCTATTGTTAAGCAAGCAGAAAATAATTTGATTAGATGTTCAACAATTTCTTCATTTCTATTGCTATTTCATTGTGTCCGCGGGCTTTTTTTTTGGGAAGATTAGAGAGGCTATCCCATAGGACCCATGCCTGGGTCCTATGGGATAGCCCTGGTCCTAAAACCATATTAATATGGGTTTAGGACCTGCACACCAATCAACCTTGCTGCAGATTGGCGTGCAGGACTGTTGGAGTACTCATATTCAGTTTATTCTTCATTATTCATTATTAGTATGCTTCACACATGTCACATCCATTTCACATTCATTTCACTCATGTTGTAGTACACCTGAGGCAGAAGTCATGGAAGATTCCTTTCCTCATCCTTCCACAAACATCCTCACTCACCTGCACCGTGTCCGCTGCTCTCAGGTGTGTTCCTCTCTTTTTTTGTCTTCAGTGAAATGATATCTAATCATTCCACAAACATCCTCACTCACCTGCACTGTGTCCGCTGCTCTCAGC